TTCTTTAAAAGGTAGCTACAAGTTACTTATAATGACAATTCCAAATCATTCAGGTTTGCTTCAAATTCTTTGGTAAAAAATCCCCCGAGTAAAGATAATGAAACCTTAAAACATAAAGACATAATACAGTCTGGGATTTCACGGTAATAATAATTATTATGCATTGAAACGTGCAACAAATGCTAATTTTTCAATGAAGTACTGGGTACTTTCATTGTGTTCCTCAGTTCATTGACTACAATACAAGAGAAATGATTTGGATTTATGATTTTCAAAATTCAAATTTCGAATATAATTGGCTCATTTAATAAATATTGCAGAAATCGTTGATGAAAAATTGAAAAATCCAAAAGTTCACCCCATGTTTTGTGTGAGAAAGACCAAAAATTCATTCTCATGATAATGTTGCTCTTTATTTTGAAAATCTGACCCCATAATAACAAATTTGATATTCTGCTATAGTTGAAAAGGAAATTCAATATTCCAGATTATAAGACACCCGGATTAAAATCTAGAAACCCTTCTGGAGTTAAATTAAGATTTTACAAATGATATCAATTCAACCGTCCAGGAAAAAGGCCTCGCTCTAAAAAATGCGACTCTAAATTGAGTTTTCGAGAGCTGGAAAAAGCGAGGGCAAAGAAAATAATATAAATGTCGAGTTTAAATTGAATAATTGGAAACATTTTAGTTGGGAGACTGACTTTTGTTAAGCTAAGTTAAATATTTTCATAAAGTTATGAATTTGCCTAGAAAAATCTTCAAGGGTATTGTATAACTATGTATGAAATTATATTAAACAAGAATTCTTTATTTAATTTTGTGTGAGAGATTTTCCAAACCTAGCTTGCTTATTCCGAATAGAAAATTTCCTGATTTTTATTCACACTATTTTTTTTTTCTATTATCTAAGTTCTTTGTCTGGCTTTTTTTTATCTTAATCTTTCTATTTTTTTCTGTTTTTCGTTTGAGAAATTTGAAATCATGACAAATGTTGTAGATCAGAAGTTATCATCAAGATATGGCCTATACTGAGTTTCAACTGCTTTAGAAAGAATTTTTGATACTTTTGAATCTGTTGGAGTTACGATAAACTGAATCTCCAATGGGTTTAAATGAGTTTTACCTTTTGAAATTATCAGCGATTCTTGTCCTAGTAGAGAACTACAATTTCTGAAAATTTCAGCTCATTTGGACTTATAGTTTCAGAAATAAAATCACGTTAAACAATATGGAGTATATTGGTGTATTTATCAATATTCTGAGTGCATTTTTTCATGGATTTTGGCTTCACATCTCAGAATAATTAAGTGTATGGGATTTGGAGTATGTTGATTGACCATCAGGATACAAAATCTCGACAAAAAAAAATTTGAAATTTCATCGTTTTAGTAAGAAGGTGCCTACCTTATGATTTGATTTTGGAAAACTTTGAAAGGTTGTAATTTTTTTTTCTATTATAGATAGAAAGCTGAAACTTTCACTGAATTTTATCTCAATCAAGGGACTACAATCCCTGAAAATTTAGCTTATTTGCACTTATAGTTCCTGAGATAAAATCGTGTTAAGCAATGTGAAGTGATTTATCGATTTTTCAAGTTTTCTGAGTGCCTTTTTTCATAAATTTCGGCTTCAAATCTGAGAATAATTTAGTGTATGGAGTTCGGGGGATGTTAATTGACCATTAGGATACGAAATCTCGACAAGAAAAATATTTGAAATTTCATCATTTTAGTAACAAGGTTTAGATTTTCGAAAACTTTGGAAGGAACTACAATCTCTGAAAATTTCAGCTCATTTGGACTCATAGTTCCTGAGATAAAATCGTGGTAAGGAATTTGGGGTGATTTATTAATTTTTCAATTTTTCTGAGTGCCTTTTTTCATAGGTAATTGACCATTAGTTTTTGCAAACGTATCCTACCTTATCTACTTCTTTGTCTTACTATTTTTGCTAAAAATACAATCAAATTAACATTAAAAATTAAATTTGTTTGTTGGAAAAAAAGGAAAAACATTCTATTTGAGATTGTAAATGTGGCAACGTTGTTTTCGATCAAGTAGGCCTTGTAATGTAATGTTATTTGCCACTTTTGACAGCCGAGTGTTTTAATCCAGCTTTTCCTTGAACTTTCCGATTTTTCAATGATTTTTCAATCAAAAAAACTTCTGTCTAAAGTACGAGGCTCTGAGTTTCCTTCATTTTCTGACATAAATTTCCAGTTTTCCAACGAGGTAAGTGACCAGAATCTTGGTTTGATCAAGTAGGCTTTAGAATGTTGGTTTTCCATTGAATTTTCTACTTTTCCAAGGCTTCTCTAATCGGAGAAAGACTGTTTTGAGTGCGGGGCTTTAAATTTGTTTCAATTTTTCAGGAAAAAAATTCCATTTTTAGACTAAAAGAGTATCCTACTTTATCTCTCTGTCTTACTCACTATCAAATTATTAGTCGGCCATTTTGAAGTGTCGTGTTTACATTTTTATCCAGGTTTTCCTCGAATTTTCCACTTTTCCAGGGTTTTTTTAGTCGAAAAAACTGGTTTAAAGTACGAGGCTTCGAGCTTTTTCCATTTTCTGCTAGAAATTTCCAGTTTTAGATCCATTAATTTACGGTCAAAAGGTAAGTGAGAAAAAATTATTGAAAAGCAAGTTTTTGAAGCCTTATTCAAGGAATTTCTAATTTTAAAATCGTTATTTATTAATTATTTAACGGGTTTTTAATTATTAAATTACAAGTAGAATCTCATTTTAAGTGATTTTTTTTGAAGTTGTGTGATGTGGCAACACCGCTTGTAGCCAACTTCAAGTAAACCTTGTAATAAATGTCATTTGCCATTTTTGACAGTCGTGCCATTTTCAATTGACGAGTTTACATTTTTATCCAGTTTTTCATCGAATCTTCCGCTTTTCCAGGCCGTTTTCAATCGGGAAAACTGTCTTAAAGTTCGAGGCTTTGAGTTTTCTCCATTTTCCACCAAAAATTTCCAGTTTTCCAATGGAGTAAGTGACCAAGACTTTGATTATTCAAGTAGGCTTTGGAATGTTGGTTTTCCATTGAATTTTCTACTTTTGCAGGGATTTATCAATTAGAAAAAGATGATTTTAAAGGTAGGGCTTTGAACTTGCTTCATTTTTTCACCAAAAACATCCATTTTTAGACTTAAATTGTTTCCTACTTTATCTCCTTTGTCTTATTTACTATTAAGCAGGCTTTGGAATGACATTTTTATTGAAATTTATTAAAGAGAAGATTCCAATGCATTATTTTCGGAATTTATCATTTCATAAACATTAATAATTAATTATTATTTAAACAAAAAACTATTTAAAATGTAATTTTTTCCTATTAGAGATGTGGCAACGTCGCACAATGTTATTTCCCAGTTTTGATAGTCGGTCATTTTTGAATGTCTTTATCCAGTTTTTCTTCGAATTTTCCGCTTTTCCATGACGTTTTCAATTGGGAAAACGGATTGATAAGACGATACTTTGTATTTTCTTCATTTTTTGCCAAAAATTTCCAATTTTCCAATGGGGTAAGTGACAAAAACTCAAGTTTTATTAAGTAGACTCTGGATTGTCATTTTTACGGGATTTTTTTTGGATTTTCTGCTTTTCCAGTGTTTTTTTGATCGAGAAAACCGATTTTAAGTAAGAGGCTTTGAGTTTTCTTCATTTTCATCCAAAAATTTTTAGTTTTAAATACTAAAATTAGAGGAAGTTAAGGTTTTTCTACCTCTTTTAAAAAAAGTGAGCACTTGAATTACATCCTACTTTATCTCTTTCCTTGTCCTACTCAGAGGGTGTTAGAGCTACTTTGCACTTAAAAAACACTAAATTTAGCAGAAAAAACGGGGCACCGAATCAAAAAAAAAGGGGGCTCTCAAAACAAAAAACAAACAAACGCCATTTTGAATTAATTGTCAAAAATTACATGGCCTACTTTGACATATCAAATTTTTTGACGTTTGCGTCAGGGTTGCTGCAATTTTTGTGCCGGGGTTGCTACATTTTTTCGTTCCTGTGAGCCGATTTTTCAATATCGAGTCACCTCCGGGTTGGTTTTTGACCATTAGGATACAAAATCTCGACAAAAAAAAAATTGAAATTTCATCGTTTTAGTGAGAAGGTACCTGCAAGGTATAAATGCAAGTTTGAGCTTGTTGTTTTTGCTAGAACGGAAACGCTTATCAGTTATAAGTAAAAATAACCGTGAAATATGATACCCCTGTTTACAACACGACATTGAACGTCGGCGGCGTGCTGATTTATGAATTTATTTTATTTACCACTACGGCATCCTGTAAAAGGACACAACGAACTTCAGACTATGTACGCTTACAGTAGTAATGAGGGGACCTGAGCCTGGGAAAATTTTCGATACCGTGGGAAAATCTATAGATCGGCGGCGCCTTTGATCTGAAATTACTGGGATTTGACCCGGGACCAACCCCAAATTTTTCGACGTCATTATGTTATCGGTGGCGCCATCTAGCGTACATAGTCTGAAGTTCGTTGTGTCCTTTTACAGGATGCCGTAGTGGTAAATAAAATAAATTCATAAATCAGCACGCCGCCGACGTTCAATGTCGTTGTGTTGTAAACAGGGGTATCATATTTCACGGTTATTTTTACTTATAACTGATAAGCCTTTCCGTTCTAGCAAAAACAACAAGCTCAAACTTGCATTTATATTTTATCGATGATAAACATGCATGGATATTTACACTGCCGACTAACTACATATACCGTAAATCGGGGTAACTTTGTGACTTGGGTATTACTTTGGGACACCTGGTATTTTTCCCACACTGTGCCTTAAAAAAATATTCAAGCAGTAAATATGACAACTTTTGGTATTCAGTCTTGTTTATAACATAATAATAAGAAAAAAAAAAAAGTTTGGCAACACTGTATTTGTTCTGGCAACAGCAGTGAATTTTTAAATGCAACAGGTCTTCACACGCATTTTTAAAATATCTGCAAACTTTCCATTGGGCAGCTAAATCGAGTAGAACTACTTTATTTTTGGTGAGTACATCTGATGTGGTTATATTTTGACTATGTTTTGATAATATAACAAAGCAAATTATCCACAACCAAAAAAAATATTATTCCTATTTACATAAATAATGGTAACATAGGGAGGTAACTTTGGTACATGTCCCAAAGTTAGACTGCGGACGCTTATGATTTAGATTTTGGAAAACTTTGAAAGGGCATAATTTTTTTTCTATTATAGATAGAAAGCTGAAACTTTCACTGAATTTTATCCCAATCAAGGGACTACAATCTCTGAAAATTTCAGTTCATTTGCACTTATAGTTCCTGAGATAAAATCGTGTTAAACAATTTGGGGTTATTTATCAATTTTTCAATTTTTCTGAGTGCTTTTTTTCATAGATTTCGGCTTCAAATCTGAGAATAATTTAGTGTATGGAGCAGTGGCGTATCCAGCCCGAGGCTCTGGGGGGGGCAGACCAGATGCCCTCCGAAGGCGGAAATTTTTTTGAGGTGCCACGCCCAAAAGTCATGAAAATCACATGTTTTGATGGCATATACACGCTTTTAATACTTTAATAATAGGACAAAATAGGTATTTTCCTAACAAGTGCGCAAAGTGATAATTTCCCGCACGGAAAAGCAGTTAGACGGATAAGCTTTCAGTGCGTGAAAGACACTATGCGCAAGTGTTAGGAACAGTACTTTTTCTACGAGTATTTGAAGATTTGCATAGCATCCAGGGGAGTTGTACCTATAATCTTCTTAAATGTTTCCAGTTGTTCAAAACTGGTAATTTTCTCTCTCAGTTCAATGTGTTGTGTTTTCAATTTTTTTTTTTTTCAATGATCAGCATGACTTTATTTGCAACAGTGGTTGTGCTAGCGAGGTTTACTTGAAATTTGTTATTCTTGCCAAATTTTGAGACTAAACTCACCTGGATGATATTTTGTCATGTGACTTTTAAAATTAGTTTTACATAGCAACAAGTATACTATTTCCAAACTCAATTGGAACAAGGTACTCACCAACTGGTGGCTGACCGAAAACTTCCATGAGAAATGCACCAGTTATGATTTATGTTCACCTTGTTCCAATTGGCTTTGAGAAAACTATACAGCACATCCCAAAATATCCTATCCATTTTGGCTTGCATTATCATAGATCTTGCTTTGCCCATTGGTGTCTGATTTATTCTTTCTGCAACACCGTTACGTTGAGAAGTATATGGAAAAGTATAACTTACTGTCCAACTTTTATGATTGGATACCTACTCCAAAGGAATGTGAGTTGTAGGCTCCTCACGCCAATGGTCGCCTGACCTCACACCTGTTTTTACTGGATTTTTCCTGCCATCGCTCCTCATATGGAAAGTGTCAAATTAAAAAAGCTAAACATTACCTGAATGCCTTTTTAGAACAAAAATAATATCCAGACTCAAGACCTTCATTTTGAATATAAGTTGTTTATCCAGAAACTCACGAAACATTGAAAAATCTAGTATAAATCACTGATCTCCTATAAATACAGTAATTATGCGAGATAAAAACGAGTGCGCAGAGTTTCCTTGCGCAAAGTTGAACTTTGCACACGCGAAAGAGTGTTTGCGAGTAGGAACAATTTTTTTTTTTTATTTGAGATATTTTTATGAAATAAAAGAAATAAAAGTTTGTTGCTCTGGGGGGGGGGGGGGCAATTGCCCCCTTTGCCCCCCCCCCTGTATACGCCTCTGGTATGGAGTTTGGGAGATGTTAATTGACCATTAGGATACAAAATCTCAACAAAAAAAAAAATTGAAATTTCATCGTTTCAGTAAGAAGGTACCTACCTACCTTATGATTTAAATTTTCGAAAACTTTGGAAGGTCATAACTTTTTTTCTATTATAGGTAGAAAGCTGAAACTTTCACTAAATTTTATCCCAATCAAGGAACTACAATCCCTGAAAATTTCAGCTCATTTGCACTTATAGTTCCTGAGATAAAATTGTGTTAAGCAATTTGGGGTGATTTATTAATTTTTCAATTTTTCTGAGTGCCTTTTTCCATAGATTTTGGCTTCAAATCCCAGATTAATTTAGTGTATCTTCAAATCAACAAACACAAAAAAACAATTCCTAGTTCGTTGTCCCTCGAAGTCGATTTTTAATGAAGAAGTCTAATTGCGTTCAACCTTCGAGCAGGTTCCACCAGCCACACACACACCGGTACCTTTTCCTCTTGGGTAGTACCATCACGATTTTATACGAGACTTCTCGACCGATTGACTTCGGTACTATTAACTTCTTGTCGTTCGCCAGGTGCCACTCTAGAACCATCATCAAGTGGACCTTTGTGTTCGGTGGTACCCAAAAGAATATGACGTTAGTGCTTCTATTTTATCAAAGGGTTTTGTGTAAAGTGATTGTATAACTATTGGCTGCATCCTGGATTATAAACCTGTTGCTGATACCGGTAAGGAATTTTAAAATTTTTATTTATATAATAGTTAAGCAACAATTTTGGCTTACTTATTAGAACAATAGTAGATCATAGAGCCGTTAACATGATTTTAATGAATATACCAAGTTATTTTGCAACTGTAAATGTACATTTGATTCAAATTTTTTTCTAAATTAAAACTATATTGCGTGCATTGAACTATGTGCATATTAAACAACAAACATCCTGTATAAAGTATATAACCTGTTGGGAGCGGAAGGAGTTCGTATTTAATTGGTTGATAACTTTTTTTTTTACTGTCATTCTATAATTGTGTTTAATTCTGTAATTATTTAGAAATGTTTCTTAGGTATGTCGTAACGAGTTAGATATCTTAACTTGAAAAGTACATTAAAGGAATATGATAACAAATAATTGCACATACAAAATTAGCAATTATTATAATGAATCTTGAAAGTTTAAAGGCACTGTCCTATAAAACTGTTTCAGTTTATTAGTGTTTTATTATAACTTTCAAAATGTTTATGTAAATAATTGTTTCATAAAGGCTTTTTAAGACAAAATAGAATCTTGATTTATTTTTCGATTAAAAGTTGTATTAAAATTACATAATTTTGATTAAATTCTTGTTTGTTGTTTATAAACAAGCTCTTAGAAAACAAAAGCTTAAAATTAAATTAAGCTCTTTGCAAGTGTAATCTAAAATGTAATTAACACATTGTGTGTGTGGATTTTGCGACAAACTATAAACACAATGTTAACTATGGATCAAGAGTAATTTCGTATGCACAAGACTTTTCCAGCCCAAACATGCATATAATGTTTCCAGAATAATTGCTTTATTGTAAACCAAACCCAGCATATCTTTGTTACCGAGAGATTATTGAATTCGGGATGTAATTAATAGCTGAGATATCTGGATTAGAATTGAAATTGCATTGATTTTCAATTATTCTCTTGGAAAATCGGACTACCTGGAGAAATTAATTATTTTTTTATATATTCAGGAGGCTTTTGGCTTCAACATAGTAAAATTTTATAGAAAAAGAACCCAGGATAATAAAGTTACGATTTTTACAATCAGGAAGACACACTGAGTGATATTTTAACCATACAGTCAATGGGCTGTTTTTTGATTTTTTTTTTGCAAATTCAGGAATCTTGGAAGTATCAATGATTTTTTTATATATTAATGAGGCTTTTGGCTTCAACATACTAAAATATTACAGAAAAAGAACCCAGGATAACAAAGTTACGATTTTTACAATCGGAAAGACACATTCAGTGATATTTCTGCCATACAGTCAATGGCCAGTTTTTAATTTTTTTCTGGAAATTCAGGAAACTTGGGAGTGTTAGTGATTTTTTATTAATTCAGTAGACTTCTGGCTTCAACATACTAAAATTTTATAAAAAAAGAACTCAGGATAACAAAGTTACGATTTTTACAATCTGAAAAATACACTGTAAGTGATATTTCTGCCATACAGTTTTTGATCTTGTTCCTGGAAATTCAGGAAACTTGGGAGTGTCAATGATTTTTTTATATATTCAGTAGGCTTCTGGCTTCAACGTAATAAAATTTTATAGAAAAAGAACCCAGGATAACTAAGTTACGATTTTTACAATCTGAAAGATACACTGTAAGTGATATTTCCGCCATACAGTTTTTGATCTTGTTCCTGGAAATTCAGGGAACTTAAGAGTGTCAATGATTTTTTTATATATTCAGTAGGCTTCTGGCTTCAACGTAATAAAATTTTATAGAAAAAGAACCCAGGATAACTAAGTTACGATTTTTACAATCTGAAAGATACACTGTAAGTGATATTTCTGCCATACAGTTTTTGATATTGTTCCTGGAAATTCAGGAAACTTCTTATGTCAATAATTTTTTTATATATTCAGTAGGCTTCTGGCTTCAACGTACTGAAATTTTATAGAAAAAGAACCCAGGATAACAAAGTTACGATTTTTACAATCTGAAAGATACACTGTAAGTGATATTTCTGCCATACAGTTTTTGATATTGTTCCTGGAAATTCAGGAAACTTCTTATGTCAATGATTTTTTTATATATTCATTATGCTTCTGGCTTCAACATACTAAAATTTTATAGAAAAAGAACCCAGGATAACAAAGTTACGATTTTTACAATCTGAAAGATACACTGTAAGTGATATTTCCGCCATACAGTTTTTGATCTTGTTCCTGGAAATTCAGGGAACTTAAGAGTGTCAATGATTTTTTTATATATTCAGTAGGCTTCTGGCTTCAACGTAATAAAATTTTATAGAAAAAGAACCCAGGATAACTAAGTTACGATTTTTACAATCTGAAAGATACACTGTAAGTGATATTTCCGCCATACAGTTTTTGATCTTGTTCCTGGAAATTCAGGGAACTTCAGAGTGTCAATGATTTTTTTATATATTCAGTAGGCTTCTGGCTTCAACGTAATAAAATTTTATAGAAAAAGAACCCAGGATAACTAAGTTACGATTTTTACAATCTGAAAGATACACTGTAAGTGATATTTCCGCCATACAGTTTTTGATCTTGTTCCTGGAAATTCAGGGAACTTAAGAGTGTCAATGATTTTTTTATATATTCAGTAGGCTTCTGGCTTCAACGTAATAAAATTTTATAGAAAAAGAACCCAGGATAACTAAGTTACGATTTTTACAATCTGAAAGATACACTGTAAGTGATATTTCTGCCATACAGTTTTTGATATTGTTCCTGGAAATTCAGGAAACTTCTTATGTCAATGATTTTTTTATATATTCAGTAGGCTTCTGGCTTCAACGTACTGAAATTTTATAGAAAAAGAACCCAGGATAACAAAGTTACGATTTTTACAATCTGAAAGATACACTGTAAGTGATATTTCCGCCATACAGATTTTGATCTTGTTCCTGGAAATTCAGGGAACTTAAGAGTGTCAATGATTTTTTTATATATTCAGTAGGCTTCTGGCTTCAACGTAATAAAATTTTATAGAAAAAGAACCCAGGATAACTAAGTTACGATTTTTACAATCTGAAAGATACACTGTAAGTGATATTTCCGCCATACAGTTTTTGATCTTGTTCCTGGAAATTCAGGGAACTTAAGAGTGTCAATGATTTTTTTATATATTCAGTAGGCTTCTGGCTTCAACGTAATAAAATTTTATAGAAAAAGAACCCAGGATAACTAAGTTACGATTTTTACAATCTGAAAGATACACTGTAAGTGATATTTCCGCCATACAGTTTTTGATCTTGTTCCTGGAAATTCAGGGAACTTAAGAGTGTCAATGATTTTTTTATATATTCAGTAGGCTTCTGGCTTCAACGTAATAAAATTTTATAGAAAAAGAACCCAGGATAACTAAGTTACGATTTTTACAATCTGAAAGATACACTGTAAGTGATATTTCCGCCATACAGTTTTTGATCTTGTTCCTGGAAATTCAGGGAACTTCAGAGTGTCAATGATTTTTTTATATATTCAGTAGGCTTCTGGCTTCAACGTAATAAAATTTTATAGAAAAAGAACCCAGGATAACTAAGTTACGATTTTTACAATCTGAAAGATACACTGTAAGTGATATTTCCGCCATACAGTTTTTGATCTTGTTCCTGGAAATTCAGGGAACTTAAGAGTGTCAATGATTTTTTTATATATTCAGTAGGCTTCTGGCTTCAACGTAATAAAATTTTATAGAAAAAGAACCCAGGATAACTAAGTTACGATTTTTACAATCTGAAAGATTCACTGTAAGTGATATTTCTGCCATACAGTTTTTGATATTGTTCCTGGAAATTCAGGAAACTTCTTATGTCAATGATTTTTTTATATATTCAGTAGGCTTCTGGCTTCAACGTACTGAAATTTTATAGAAAAAGAACCCAGGATAACAAAGTTACGATTTTTACAATCTGAAAGATACACTGTAAGTGATATTTCCGCCATACAGTTTTTGATCTTGTTCCTGGAAATTCAGGGAACTTAAGAGTGTCAATGATTTTTTTATATATTCAGTAGGCTTCTGGCTTCAACGCAATAAAATTTTATAGAAAAAGAACCCAGGATAACTAAGTTACGATTTTTACAATCTGAAAGATACACTGTAAGTGATATTTCCGCCATACAGTTTTTGATCTTGTTCCTGGAAATTCAGGGAACTTCAGAGTGTCAATGATTTTTTTATATATTCAGTAGGCTTCTGGCTTCAACGTAATAAAATTTTATAGAAAAAGAACCCAGGATAACTAAGTTACGATTTTTACAATCTGAAAGATACACTGTAAGTGATATTTCCGCCATACAGTTTTTGATCTTGTTCCTGGAAATTCAGGGAACTTAAGAGTGTCAATGATTTTTTTATATATTCAGTAGGCTTCTGGCTTCAACGTAATAAAATTTTATAGAAAAAGAACCCAGGATAACTAAGTTACGATTTTTACAATCTGAAAGATTCACTGTAAGTGATATTTCTGCCATACAGTTTTTGATCTTGTTCCTGGAAATTCAGGGAACTTAAGAGTGTCAATGATTTTTTTATATATTCAGTAGGCTTCTGGCTTCAACGTAATAAAATTTTATAGAAAAAGAACCCAGGATAACTAAGTTACGATTTTTACAATCTGAAAGATACACTGTAAGTGATATTTCCGCCATACAGTTTTTGATCTTGTTCCTGGAAATTCAGGGAACTTCAGAGTGTCAATGATTTTTTTATATATTCAGTAGGCTTCTGGCTTCAACGTAATAAAATTTTATAGAAAAAGAACCCAGGATAACTAAGTTACGATTTTTACAATCTGAAAGATACACTGTAAGTGATATTTCCGCCATACAGTTTTTGATCTTGTTCCTGGAAATTCAGGGAACTTAAGAGTGTCAATGATTTTTTTATATATTCAGTAGGCTTCTGGCTTCAACGTAATAAAATTTTATAGAAAAAGAACCCAGGATAACTAAGTTACGATTTTTACAATCTGAAAGATTCACTGTAAGTGATA